TATATGCATATATATATATATGCGTGCATATATATATATATATATATATATGCATATATACACGCATATATAAATATATGCATGTATATGTGTATATATATATGCATATTTATATATATGTGTATATATATATATGCATATTTATATATGCATATATGTGTGCATATAGGCATATATATATATATGTGAATATATATATATGCATATATATATATATATGTGTATATATATGCATATTTATATATATATGCATATATTTATATATATATATGCGTGCATATATGCATATATATATGCGTGCATATATGTGTGTGTCTGTATATATTTATAAACTGTATATTATTTTCCATTATTCAATGGAGTATTTGTACTTTTTTAATATATACCATCAAACATATGTTCATATATAAAGTGGGTAACTATACAAAACGAAATGAGATAACTGTTGAATGAATATCTGTTCAATTTTATGTAAACTTGTGTAACTCATGAAAGATAAATGAGTGTTTCAATAAAACTATTACATATATAATTGTATAGTGCAGTTTTTGTTTTCATTGCAATATATATTTTTTATATGTATCAATATATAGCCATACATGGTCCATGCATATATTGCAATATATTTAAAAATATAAGGACTACTTTCCCATATATGGAAATGTATGATCCAGTACATTGTATTATATTTACCAATATATTACAATATATTTTTGTTTCATAAGGGCTAGCTTTCTGTCTCTCTGCTAGCTCCGTTAGCTCTGTTAGCTCCAGGATGCTACAGGGGCTCAGCTGCGAGGCTGATCCGGGGAACACAACTTGAACTCCGACATGTTTGTTGTGTCGGTGCCTGGTGGAGTATTCTTCATTTAAATATCTGACTTATCTTATGCCGCCTCGGCTCCGCCTCTTTTCCCTTATTTGGAGCAGTCTGGAGCAGGCGGGAGTTAGACTCTGACGTCACTGTCGAGACGTTAGTGGCCGACTCCGCCTACGAAGGGCTTCTCAGCAACTCTGCAGAAACCTATGGGTGACGTCACGGACACTACGTCCATTTATATATACAGTCTATGGTCTTTCCCCACAGCGTCCATGTAAATTTAGCCTCAACCCTCACGGGGTGAAAACAGTATTTCCGGTCTCGAAGTTTTCATAGTAAAACCAGAAGTATTCCCCTCACTGTCAAATGATGTTACAGTGATATCTGCAGTACTCATCCACTAAAACACATCAGTTTATCTTTGTTAATTACACAACATTAATTAGTTTAAATTATGTACACTGCTTTTGTGTTTTTCCCATAGGTTTTTCCCTTTAGATTCTGAGACACATTTCTTTTTTCAGACATTTTGATTGGCGAAAACATGTAATTACCCATAATCCTCAGCTATGGTTGAAGCTCGGTGATTGTCTGTGATGTTTTACAAATTAGATATTAATGTGTATAACTAAAATATGTGAAATAATATAGCAATATCCTGCAAAAATATGTGAAAACATGAATTAAACTACACATTTTCAGATGTTATACATACACAAGTGTCCTACACTAATTGTCATGGCACACATTCTGTTGCCCAAGGGTCACTGTTTTTGGCGGCACCTTTTGGTCATTCGTGGCAATGACAGCTGTGTCTACCTTATTTGTCACATCTTCAGAAACCCTCCTGAACTCATCAGGTTCAACGCAAAGCCTTATCTTATTTATCAGAGAAAGAAACCGGGACTAGCTCTGTCGCTCCCAACCCAGTCTCACAAAAAGAATTGTAATAGCTACGTTGGTCCACAGGGCCTAACTGTTAAATGACTGAACTTCATTCTTCTCCCTATTTTACAGCACCCCAATTTGGTGATTCTACCCAGTTAGGCATATTCACATAGCTTAGGTCAAGTGGTTTTATAACAATTGGTCCCATGTATTTAGTCCCTTCTGTAACAGAATGACACGCACTTAAAAATTCACTGAAGCCAATGTTAACAGTTGAGAGCACGACCTGCTTATAATCTTCAAACTGACATGATGTTACTCTCCAGATTGAGAGCTCTCCAACAATGTTTTGTGTTTACTCCTACGACCAAGTTTACATTTAGCCATTTCCTCCACACAGCCTTAGCCCAGGGTTACTTTCCACTGAACCCTTTGGAGACTCAACCTCAACAATACAACTATCACTTTACCATTACTTTTCAAGTTCTAGACTTATGTAATTATCATAATCAAGCAAAATGTGGACTATTTGAGGCTTAGGCATTGTATCATGAACCTGTATAGACCTGTAACAGTCAAAGACAGGCAACTGAGGAGTTGGAAAGGTAGTTTCTGAAGATGTTACAAATAACACACAGCATACAATGCCATAATAACTTTTTATTATTAGTGTAGGACACTTATGTATGTATAACATCTGGAGATGTGTAGTTTTATTCATGTTTTCACATATTTTTGCAGGATATTACTATATTATTTCATATATTGTAGTTCTACACATTAATATCTGATTTGTAAAACATCACAGACAGAAAGGTATATCCATCATTTAATGGTAAGCTATTGAAAGGGAAAGGGAAAAAACCTATGGGAAAAACACAAAAGCATTGTACACAATTTAAACCAATCAATGTCGTGTAATTAACGAGGATAAACTGATGTTTTTTAGTGGATGAGTACTGGCAGATATCACTGTGAAATCAATTGACAGTGAGGGGAATACGGTTTTATTATGACAACTTCGAGACCGGAAATACTGTTTTCACCCCTTGAGGGTTGACGCTAACTTTACATGGACGCTGCCTTCAATAGAAATGAATAGGGGGAAAGACGTAGTATATACACGTTCTCCTGGCGAGACCTCAAATAATCTTCGTAATATTTATCAAACTATAGATCCTAACACATCCACTGGACGTGGATTCTAAAAGTACAATATACACTTTGCGCTAGAACTCTAATCAAAAAGCATTTTAATGGCCAACTATCCTACAATTTAGGATTTTCCAAGAGGGTTATTTGGTGAATAACGACCCTCCGGAGCGTTTGCAGTCAACGGGAGCATCAGCCCATATGCTGCAAATTGTTGTTTTTTACACGACCACTAGAGGTGCTAAACTTTAAAACGTGACTATAGGTCGTAATGAGTTGTTGAACAATCAACCTATTTGGTCGTTTTTTGGAGGACTTGTTGAGACAGATGTGTTGTTGCAGCTTTAACATTTACTCTGTCTTATACACACACAACACTTTTGTACAAAATAAAGTTTATTGCCATTATTAATTTACATTAAGCGTTTCAAAACATCATAGACAAAATATTCAGTCACAGGATTTCTACCATCATCATCATCATCATTGCCTGCGTTACAGTCTTTTTAACGAGGATAAGAAACAGCATTTTGTTTTGTACAGATATTGGCTTTAGTAATACAGTAATGGTGCGTTCAAGGGGCTTATCTCCATGTAGGTAATATGGTACCAACTACAACAAAATGAATATGTTACCGTGATTTAATTGTAATACACGTTTCAAGATCATGCAGAACTAACAACATAATGATACCAGTTTCTAAAAACCATGAATTAATGCTTTGATAAGTGCACACACATGTGAAACACTTTTAAAATACGTTTTTTTAATGGAGATCGGATCGATCATGCTAAGCTAACGTTGTAGCTGCTTCCGTCCACACTCACAACAAACGTTATACAGACAGAAATAAAGCAGCGACTGTATTCACAATCTCATAAACAGTCTGTGGTTTGAAAATGTAAATCTTTCCTCCAGTTTCTGAACAGATATGAGGAGCTGTGAGCTCTGTGTGCTAACCGCTAATGGCTAACCGCTAACAGCTAACAGCTAACGGCTGAATCTGATGGAGTATTGCTGGAGATATTTGTACACACCAGGGAAATATTTCAAAAGTGGAAACAAGGACTATCATTAGCCAACATTGACGTTACTCTTTAGAAAAAGTCAGTTACCCACTCAAGATCCCAAGATAGCCACCAATGATGGCTCGGTAATCACTTTCACTCACTTAAAAATAAATCATTTTGGTGTCAAATCATACAATTTTTGTATTTGAAAACAAATTAAAACGTCAGGAATTACTAATGCCAGCAGACTAGTATTAGTATTCAGGGTTTTAAAATAGATAAAATATAGTATGAGGGCAATACTGTGGCGCTGATCTTATAAGATATATCAATACATATCAATTAGTCTATCAGTCTATCCGCTTCTTTACATTGACTTTACATGTAATCACAACACGCACAAAAATCGCATCATGTCCGATGTGAACGCACCATAATCATGGTCTGTGTAATATTTGCCCTTTGTTCACTATTTACAGACATGTTATTAGTAATGCAAAACATCAATGCTCCCTTTTTAAGAAACATAACAAGACATATACAACTGAGACCAATGTGTATGCTGAAAAGGACATTATTTAATTGGAAAATAACCTTATCTTGTTGAGTTTTGTCTTAATACTGTTCTTTAAATCCATATCATCTGACGGAGATTCTGTATTTTATATAACAAAGACATTTATCAAATTTCTTTCTCTTTTTGTTAGGATGGCGTGGAAGGGTAGGACCCAAATGCAGACTATCAAAAAAGGTAACAGGTCTCGTAACAAAAAGCGAGCTTTATTTTAAAAGCTGATCAAAAACAAGGCATGAAACAAATGGGTTGTACAAAAAACTGACCGTGACCAACATGGAGGGAGACAGGAGAGACAACCGTGACTGACATGGAGGAAGACAGGAAAAACCAACAATGAACCGACAGGGGAACACAGGAAGAGACAAGACTAAATACAGGGAGAGGTAATCACAAGACAAGACACAGCTGGGGTAAGGGAGGCAGAAACACAAGGGCAACAGGTGAACACAATCAGACAATCAGACACACCAGGGAAACTAACGACAGGAAGGCAAACACAGGAAGAAGGAACAGAGAAGACACAAGGAGGAAAACATTTCAAAACAAAAGGTGGAAAATGAAAACATAAATACAAAACCGTAACAATTTTGAACAATTGAGATTCAACAAAGCAGGCTGATGTGTAGCATGTTTCAGTGGCAGTGTGAATTCAGTGGCCTACTAATAATCAGTATTTCATTTGGTTTGTTAGTCTTTTTACACATTGCACCATAAAAGCATGACCATTATTAAAAAGCAGTTTAAAAATACACTGTAAAAAATATTGCTGGAAACTGTTTGACAATAACATTCAGTCTTATCGTGAAAACAACAGATATAAAACGGTATGGCTCACGTTCAGGGCTGTTTGCACCCTGTGGTTTAACAACAAAGTGCAGTTCTTCCCTGTAATCTCAAATCATCAGCGCACGGCGTTCAGGAGAAGAGTTCAAGTCCAGAATCTCCGTCACGCTGCAGAGGAAAAGGCCGAGACACGACAAGTTTAATGAAAACCCCTCAGTTTCTCTTTGGGTTGAAGGTGAGTCTCAGCAGGACCTGGCACAGTGTCCGACTTCAGACTTCAGACTTTAGGAGGAGGGACCGGCCTCAGAGCCTGCAGGAAAAACAAAAAACACATTAATTCATTCACTAAAGAAGGCATCGACAGACTCTACTCTTTAATGTGACTTTTTATACACATTTTCAACAAATGACTTTTTTAATGAAAACATTTGACATTCTAAACTATTATAATTGTTTTGCATATTATTACTTTTTAAACATGAATTTTGAGATAATATACCCTTAATTTATTTCTACATTTATTTCTATGAATATGTTGGTCCTACTATACTATCACTTTTATTTCGTCATACTGTACCCTTACTTTCTTTTAACATACTATACAATGACTTTTTACAACATATGACACTATGACTATTTTCTGACATACTAAACTATGATTTTTTTAGAAATACTATTCCACAACTTTTTTTACAGCGTACTATATTCAAACTTTTTCGACTATATAAGAAAAATAATTTGACATCATACTATGACTTTTTTAGGCTATTACTAGGAGTCCCAGAAGCTTCTACTGAAGCCTTCCGAGTAAATCGCCAGAACGCCGACACCTCCTCATCTCCACCGCTCCCATGTTTTTTTTTGTGTTGCCATAAGTTATTCTCTCTCCGTTGGTGCGCGGGGCTAATGCTAATGCTAATAATGCTAATGCCAGAAAATGCTAATGCCAGAAAATACAATGCGGCTTCACAAAACTTTTCAGAGTTTTACGGGCCGTGGTTTGCAATTCGCCCAGCCAATCAGACATTGGAACTTTTTTCTCCCCAGGATAGTCCCACCTCTCTCGCAGGGACTGAAAAGGGGGGAAAAGTTCTCATGAACTAAGTTCTCTTTTTGGTGTGAATGCAAATCCCAGGAACTATCGGAACTAAACGGGAAAAGTACTCCGTTGTGAAAGCGCCTTATGACTATTTTGGTCCTACGATACCATCACTTTGTTCGACATACCATGACTTTTAATAAAACCATTCAACATACTGTACAGTTACTGTTTTTACAACATACTATTTTATGACATGTTGTAAATATTTGGACATATTATACTAGGACTTTTGTTGAACGTACTTTAATATGACTTTCTTATGCAGTTATTATGTATTATATATTGCAGTATGATCAGTACCTGGCGAGCAGCGCTGTAGTTCTGTCCCTGTTTCCGGCTGGAGGGGGGGGCGGTGGAGCTCCTTTGGGTTTGGGCCTTACAACCTAAAATGTAAATATTATTATGTATGTATTGAGTTGTTGTTTTAAGCTGCTGCAAAACATCCAACATAAAACCATCTTCATGGTGGGGGTTTCCCAGCATTACCTGCACTGTAGTCTGTTGACTGAGCATCGCTGGCAGCTTCCTCTGCGTGTGTGAACTGTTAGAAAACAAGAGATTGTAAAGGTGACTTTCAGCATAAAAGCCTCACTACAATCTGAAATATTGTGTATTTACTCACGTTGGCAACATGGGACTTTGTCGTTTCTTACAGATGAATCCGATCACTCCAGCAATCACGCCTAAAACCACTAAAATCACCGTCAGAGCGATGGCCACCGTGGCTCCTGCAGAAAGGGAAAGCAGATTGAATTGGATAAGATAAGATTTCAGCCCTGTTTCCAAAGTGCTGATTCTCTGTCTGTTACTTTAGATGAAAATAAGGAGCCCCTCCCCACGCCCCTCTGAGAGAGATTTGGTTACAAAGAACACAATGGTGCTCTAGGAGGAGATTCAGGTGATAAGGGGGGGGGGGGGGTTACCTTGGTTGGTGATTGGCTAATGGTTACACAAGACAAAACATCGTTATGACATCATCATGTGGCCAAAATCTGATCAGCTCATTTTCAGACAGGTTTTTATAGAAATGGATCAAAAGAGAGAGAATCTTTGTTCCTGAAACTTTCAGAGTCTCTTTCCACAGAGGGGACACATGTTGATGAAGAGGAGACATGAAGAAGAGGGGACACATGTTGATGTAGAAGAGACATGAAGAAGAGGGGACACATGTTGATGTAGAAGAGACATGAAGAAGAGGGGACACATGTTGATGTAGAAGAGACATGAAGAAGAGGGGACACATGTTGATGTAGAAGAGACATGAAGAAGAGGGGACACATGTTGATGTAGAAGAGACATGAAGAAGAGGGGACACATGTTGATGTAGAAGAGACATGAAGAAGAGGGGACACATGTTGATGTAGAAGAGACATGAAGAAGAGGGGACACATGTTGATGTAGAAGAGACATGAAGAAGAGGGGACACATGTTGATGAAGAAGAGACAGGAAGAAGAGGGGACACATGTTGATGTAGAAGAGACATGAAGAAGAGGGGACACATGTTGATGTAGAAGAGACATGAAGAAGAGGGGACACATGTTGATGTAGAAGAGACATGAAGAAGAGGGGACACATGTTGATGTAGAAGAGACATGAAGAAGAGGGGACACATGTTGATGTAGAAGAGACATGAAGAAGAGGGGACACATGTTGATGTAGAAGAGACATGAAGAAGAGGGGACACATGTTGATGAAGAGGAGACATGAATAAGAGAGGACACATGTTGATGTAGAAGAGACATGAAGAAGACGGGACACATGTTGATGTAGAAGAGACATGAAGAAGAGGGGACACATGTTGATGTAGAAGAGACATGAAGAAGAGGGGACACATGTTGATGTAGAAGAGACATGAAGAAGAGGGGACACATGTTGATGTAGAAGAGACATGAAGAAGAGGGGACACATGTTGATGAAGAGGAGACATGAATAAGAGGGGACACATGTTGATGTAGAAGAGACATGAAGAAGAGGGGACACATGTTGATGTAGAAGAGACATGAAGAAGAGGGGACAGATGTTGATGTAGAAGAGACATGAAGAAGAGGGGACACATGTTGATGAAGAGGAGACATGAATAAGAGGGGACACATGTTGATGTAGAAGAGACATGAAGAAGAGGGGACACATGTTGATGTAGAAGAGACATGAAGAAGAGGGGACACATGTTGATGTAGAAGAGACATGTGGATTTTGGTGACCTTTAAATCCAGCATTACATTTCAGTGCAAATTCAATATTGGCCGTGCAGAAAGCAGAGAGTAACGGCAGGTAGCCTCACCTGTAGAGAGACCCTCTTTGGAGGAGCAGCGAGGAGGCATCCAGCCGGCCTCACACTGACACTCACTCCTGTGGTTACACACCTGAGGACACACAATGAACCCTGTTGTTATCATGTGTTGTTCAATGTAGTGCTTCATGTTCCCTGTTACGCTCCTTTTGTACTGTCTTAAACCTTTCCTTTGAATATTTTATGAATTGTAAGGTGTCCTTGGGTGCTTTGAAAGGCGCCTCTAAATAGAATGAATTATTATTATTATTAATGGCACTCTGAAGGAGCAGCCGTGTTTAACACATTTCACTCTTTATTACCGTTTAATTTACCCTTAAGTCAAATCATTTAATATCGTTGAAGCGGCCACTTTCACCCCCATGACTCCCCCCATTTCCAAAAATAAAATGAAACAGGTTTTTGTATTTGCCTCCAGCCTGATTTAGTACACTTTCTTAGCATTTGTTTTAAGATAAACTCAGTAATCCACACCAATGTGTAGATCACATTTAATGTATTGCAGCATGGTCTCTTCCTGTGTTCACTAATTTGTTGAGACAAAGCTTAAAGGGGACCTATCATGCAAAATGCACTTTTGTACGTCTTTTATACATGAATATGTGTCCCCGGTGTTCCAGGGAACTCACCAATGGCGCGTTTCCACTACAGCGCGGAGCACGGTTTAAGAGGGCTGTGACGTCAGCGGCCCGTCTTTGGTTGCGTTTCCACTTGGCCTAGTACCGGCCGGCGGGTCCTAATTCACAGTTTTTCTGGCCTCATAAAATCGCGGGTCTAGGGCCAGAGACAACGAGGCTGAGTCGGGCTGAGTATGCTAAACTAGAGAGAGCATCGCTGGCAAGGGGGCTACAACTACAACAAGATGGACATATTTTACCGTGATTTAATTGTAATACACGTTTCAAAATGATGCCGAAGTAACAACATACTGATACCGGTTAGTAAAAACCATGAATTAATGCTTTGTCAAGTCTGCAGACAGACGGCAGGCGAAAAACCTTTTAAAATGCGTGTTTTCTAAATGGAGATTGGCTAAGCTAACGCAGTATATGCTCCGACCGTCCACACTCACAACAACGGCCTATACAGACATAAATAAAGCAGCGACTGTATTCACCATGACACAGGCAGTCTGTGGTTTGTACTTGTTTAACTTTTGTCTAGTTTCTGAACATATATGAGGAGCTGTGAGCTCTGAGTGCTAACAGCTAACGGCTGTGTTGTTTTTCTGGGGCTCTCTGAAGATCACGTCACGGCTCCGCCTACACTGCGTTACTATAGATACTACCCCAGTTCCTAAACTGTAATGGAAATGCGCCATGAAGTGAGCCAGTCCTAACGAGGCCCAGCCATACCGAGCGGGGCCGAGCGAGGCCGTGTAGTGGAAACGCGCCACAAGTGTCAAAAAACACAACCCTCTCTATTTTCCTCCATACCCAAATCTCTAAAAAAGGGGCTGCAACGGATCTGATCAAAACTGATCCAGATTTGAACACTGTCCTGACGTCAGGACGGTGGCACTACGGCTATTGGGCCAACTCAACCAATCAGGAGGAGACAGCCACGGCCATTGCCGTTTGAAAGCGCTGGAGACGCTGTAGTACATATGCCAGGCCTGTAGGTGGTGCTGTTCTCACAGAATCAGCCCTTGCTAAAACAGATCTAAAAAATGTCAAATAGAGCAAAATGAGGCATGGCTAAAATGCATGATCTGTTTGGTATTTTGAAAAAAAAAAAAGTATAAATATGCCTTATATAGGTATGGTCCTACACTATATTATTCAAATATAGCATGATAGGTCCACTTTAATTAAATGTGTATTTTGTGTCTTTCTCCTTGTTGTTGTTTTGTATTTTATCACAGGCAACAACTTGTTTATATTTTTATATCATTGTCATCACACCTACTCATTGGGTTTCTCTTGTTTGGTATTTTCTTCTATTTATCTTTTATTATTATGATTTATTTCTTAGTGGTTTTCAGCACTTTAAAGCTTTTATGCATTATTTTCTGTTCCATTAAAAGCAGCAACTTCCACGTCTAAAGAGTGAACCCTTAACCCTGCATTCCCTGAAACATCCAGCAGGGGGCGACTGCTCTGTTTGAATAGAAGACCTATGAGGAAATCTCTTTACATTTCACTTCATCTATAACCTCAGAAAACATTTTCCTGTCTTGCAAATATATAATGTTTTCACCGCTTGTGTTTCTACTGTTCGGTCGCCTGAACATGTCTTTTTTAGTAAAATGTTGCACATGGCTCTTCTAGTTCCAATAAACCAAGACGGTGACGACCAAAAACCCCAAATTGAAGTCACGGTGAATGCCTCTACTTCCTGTACACAGTATGTTCACCTAAACAACAACAAACAGTCTGATCAGTGTTGGTGTTTACTCACAGCGTGTCCTTGGCATTTGGCTGAACAGTTTGTGTTTCTGTACGCCGTCTGAAGCTCCACGCACTCGTTCTGACTGCACACCTGGAGAGAAAGTGGAAATATATTACTTTGATTGTAGATTTTAATATTAAAACATGAGCATGAAGAGGTCAATCTTCAGGTTTTTAGAGAGATGGATCAGGACAAAAAGAGAGGGGTCTTTGTTCCTGAGACTTTCAGAGTCTCTTTCCACAGAGGGGACACATGTTGATGAAGAGACATGAAGAAGAGGGGACACATGTTGATGTAGAAGAGACATGAAGAAGAGGGGACACATGTTGATGAAGAAGAGACATGAAGAAGAGGGGACACATGTTGATGAAGAAGAGACATGAAGAAGAGGGGACACATGTTGATGTAGGAGAGACATGAAGAAGAGGGGACACATGTTGATGTAGAAGAGACATGAAGAAGAGGGGACACATGTTGATGTAGAAGAGACATGAAGAAGAGGGGACACATGTTGATGTAGAAGAGACATGAAGAAGAGGGGACACATGTTGATGTAGAAGAGACATGAAGAAGAGGGGACACATGTTGATGTGGAAGAGACATGAAGAAGATGGGACACATGTTGATGTAGAAGAGACATGAAGAAGAGGGGACACATGTTGATGTAGAAGAGACATGAAGAAGAGGGGACACATGTTGATGTAGAAGAGACATGAAGAAGAGGGGACACATGGTGATGTAGAAGAGACATGAAGAAGAGGGGACACATGTTGATGTAGAAGAGACATGAAGAAGAGGGGACACATGTTGATGTAGAAGAGACATGAAGAAGAGGGGACACGTGTTGATGTAGAAGAGACATGAAGAAGAGGGGACACGTGTTGATGTAGAAGAGACATGAAGAAGAGGGGACACATGTTGATGTAGAAGAGACATGAAGAAGAGGGGACACATGTTGATGTAGAAGAGACATGAAGAAGAGGGGACACATGTTGATGTAGAAGAGACATGAAGAAGAGGGGACACATGTTGATGTAGAAGAGACATGAAGAAGAGGGGACACGTGTTGATGTAGAAGAGACATGAAGAAGAGGGGACACATGTTGATGTAGAAGAGACATGAAGAAGAGGGGACACATGTTGATGTAGAAGAGACATGAAGAAGAGGGGACACATGTTGATGTAGAAGAGACATGGAGAAGAGGGGACACATGTTGATGTAGAAGAGACATGAAGAAGTGGATTTTGAGTAATAGGAGACCTTTGAGTAAAGTTGGAAACAGAAACTATAGCTGACGTTGTCTGAAAGCTGTCTAGTGATTTATGTAACGACTCACTTTAATCACGTTTAACAATAGTAAAACCCAGAGACTTAAATCCTTGTTAGAGTGTGGGTCGATTACCTTTTAAGTTGATTAGTTATTTTTGAATTGATTAATTATTACACGCTTTACTGGCGCTGTATTTACTGTGTTCAGCATTTAGCAGCAACACACTAATGTGGGGGAAACTTCTGTAGCAATGGAGAGTCAGGACTCAAAGAGAGACACGAGGAGAGCTGGAGCTTTGATGGCACAAGACATGTCATGAGCCAATACAAAAACAAAGATATATAAAAATATGTATACAAATATTTATATACACAATCAACAGACACATTTATATATGCACACATTAAGACATAAAAAAAATCACAACAATCACTATATAAAAAAATAACAGTCACTTCAATGACTTTTAGAAAAGTGCGTTAGTGCAACACTTTCCATAGCAGCGTAACAAGTGTCTAAAGATGTGTTTTTGGTGCATGTTACGTCAAAAATCTAAAGAGCATGTTACCTTTCCTTCCCCACATCTGGTCCCCGTGTCCACCTGGCCGTAGTCTTTGGTGAAATCTCCAAAAAACGCCGCCTTGCAGTTCCCGACTTTGACCATCCGGCCGTAGTTGGGGTTGCCGCTGCCGCCCTCACAGAACAGCTTCCCACAGAAGATATCTCTGAAGACAAAGAGGGGACAGAAACTGTTAGAAAGATACTGAATGTACTCTACAGTATATGAGAGTAACATGATAACAAAGGTATCCCAACTGTAGCTGTGTACATGACAGGATGTATGATTACCTAGAAGAGCATCAGGACTAAAGTAACAGACTCAGCACTTTGGAAACAGGGCTGAAACAGAGGGGATTATGGGATGCTGCAATGATCTGTTTGGTGTTTCAGCCAATCAGAGACAGGCTCTGTATATATCTGAGACCTGTGATATATTGATGAAGAAGAGGATAGTAGGGGACCTTTAATGTTTCTGTGAGACTCACTCTCTCTGGCAGGGGATGAACCGGTCGTTGGCGGTCCTCTTGCAGAAGGACCAGTATAGTCCTCTGGTGTTGTACCTATAGCAGAACGCTCCGGCCTCGATAGCACCTGCAGACAAGAGAGTGTTTTATCTCATAGCCTATACTTATTTCGTACAGCATTGCAGAACGTGAGGTGCCTGTAGTGGCTGCGAGCTGAAAGGCCAAAGTTAGCTTCCATCAAAGAAAGTGGTAAGCATTTATATTTCTTGTAGAGAAGGTAGTGTGGAAACATCCATCCTATTTGTGTTGCAATGAGATCAAATAACCCCCTATAGCAATATACCCCTCCTTCCTTTTTCCTCAATGGGTCAAAGATGTAATGTGGTAGTTCATACAAGGCTCCTCTAAAAGAGACGGGGTTATTGGGAGAATATTACAGAAGTGAGCATTTTATATTTCATTTTTGGCAGATTTTTTATAAACTGCCACCTGCTGGTAAGGAGAGTTATTGCCACTCACGCATGCGCAGTGCATACGTGCTACTTGGCTGTCGGCTGAAGTCTTTGCGGTGTGTTCCAGTGCGACTTTTTGGCCAAGGAGACGTGAGGCGACACAACAGACGGGTCCGTCTGGACGTGTTCTTTGGTGTCAGCTTGGTGTGTCTGGGCCTTAAAGGACTACAATTCCCACAGTGGACAGATTTCCGGGTCGGCAATACAGCGAGAACAAGCTAAACTCATCCTGAGCACACACAAACACTCACAGCCGAAGTAAACACAATAAGTGTGGCTTGATAATGAGTAAGAAAAAGGTTTATAACGCTGTGAGAATGGGTCTGCAGAGAGCATTTCTCCGCCATCCCAACTCGTCTATTACCAGCGTTCAGGGAGCTCTATGCAAGTCAATGGGGACTCCCTGTTAGTTAGCCAAGGGATCCTGGTGTGTGAGGTGCTCCGCTGATTGGTCCATTTGGGCCAATCCGGTCATTTGTTGTTGATTTGGGTATTCACACGTCACAGAACCCAGGAAGCAAACAATGGAAAAAGAGAAATGTCCAACGAGGCGTTCTGGGGCAGCAAAGACAGGTCTTTTCTGTGTTAGAGTTTTACTCGCTACAGGGTGTACTTTGAGGGTTTGTGACTCTGCACACCGTTTACATGCAGAAAAACCTTCATAACACACAAGGGGACGGGTAATAACCAGAAAAGCATGACATGGGACCTTTAAAAATATATATATTTTTATTATCCTTATATATTTCTCTTTTTTACCTACTTTGCAACTTATTTATTTAGATTGTTCATGTTCGCACCACCAGACACCAAAGCAAATTCCTTGTATGTGTAAACGTACCTGTCAATACATCTGATTCTGATCCTGAATATATACCATAGTTCTGTTGTTTTTAGTCATTTTCCCTGCAGCATAAATGTGTCTGTTGATTGTGTATATAGGATATACATATTTTATACATATTTGTATTTGTATTTTTGTTTTCGGGATTGTGGGAAACAGTATTTCGATCTCTCTGTCTGAACACACAAACTGAAAGATTGATAATAAAGTTGAGTTTGACTTTGAGGTATCTTGCACGCTGTTGGAGGAGGAAGGACTCACTTGCTCCGTACAGTTTGGCGCACTGGTCCATCCTCTGGGGACACCGACCGTTGAAGCAGAAACCCAGATCTCCGTCACACGGGAGCCCGTTCACCACGAACACGTCTTCAGGACAGATGTTGCTCTTCCCGTCGCAGTTCTCCGCAAGATCGCACTCATCCTTCTTAGAGCGACATTCCCGGGAGCGAGGAGACACCTGAGAGGAGGCGGAGTCAAAGGAGAGGTCATGACTCAGGTGAGAGGAGGGGGAGTCAAAGGAGAGGTCATGACTCAGGTGAGAGGAGGCGGAGTCAAAGGAGAGGTCATGACTCAGGTGAGAGGAGGCGGAGTCACAGGAGAGGTCATGACTCAGGTGAGAGGAGGCGGAGTCAAAGGAGAGGTCATGACTCAGGTGAGAGGAGGCGGAGTCAAAGGAGAGGTCATGACTCAGGTGAGAGGAGGCGGAGTCAAAGGAGAGGTCATGACTCAGGTGAGAGGAGCAGAGAGGGCACAAGTACACACATCCTTTACTCAAGTAGAAGTACAGATACTCGTGTTTAAAAATACTCTGGTAGAAGTACTACTAGAATACTCTGGTAGAAGTACTACCAGACTTTACTGACTAAACTAAAGTCTCTCTGAAGAGGGTAATAATAATTTAAAGATCTTAATGACCCCATGGTATTGTCTTTTTATTGTTTAATTACTTTATTAACTAGAAGGAAGATTTACTGGTGTGCTTCCCTGGATGATGTAAATAGTCCAAGTGCCATGGTAGGGGGACATTACGGAACTCAGGAGTCCGCCCTTGGAGGCTTGGAGAGCGGATAAAGAGAGGTGTATTTACTTGTGTTGAGCCCTGGATGATGTAAATAGTCCAAGTGCCGTGGTAGGGGGACATTACGGAACTCAGGAGTCCGCCCTTGGAGGCTTGGAGAGCGGATAAAGAGAGGTGTATTTACTTGTGTTGAGCCCTGGATGATGTAAATAGTCCAAGTGCCGTGGTAGGGGGACATTACGGAACTCAGGAGCCCGCCCTTTGAGGCGTTGTTAACATTAATGCTTTTTGCTTTTGTTTTTGTTACTAAGATACTTTTTTAGATACACTTTTGAAGTGAGCAACACTTTACAACTGGTAGAAAGTGAAGTACTTTGTATGGAATTGGGTTTTCTTTAGAGCTGTTTTCAGTGAGACAATGCAGTTTCTGATCATTTTAAGTTTCAAGTTTCAAGGCTTTGTGGCATATGCCCATTAGCTACAGTGTAGATATTTCAATGAAAAACATAGGTCACAGGCTCCTCCAACAGTGCAACAAATATATATATATATATATATATATATATATATATATAGAGCACATAAAACAGATAAAATACTGCAATAGAATGTTTTGATATGACAGATTTGTGCGTAATTCTCTAACAAAGGAACTGTAAGATACACGTTTATGTATGCAAAACGTTATAACTTGGTAAAATATTCATTCATTTGTAATGAATTGAGTTTCTTAACCTGTTACGCACCGCCCCCCCGGTACCGGGCGGATAAACGCGTCATTTGCAGGAAACAACGTCTAAGGAATCTTAATATTTAATAAACTATGAATGTTTTATATCCATGTAACGGGAAGAAACTCAGCTAACTGATCTTTTTAATTTTTTTTCTCCAAAAAAACCCCACAATGCTAACACTCAGCCTCTGAATTAGCCACGAGCGAAAAAATGTAACCTAAAACTGCACCTAAACTCACTCATAACTCCCTTACTACTTATCCTAGATGCACAGCCAACCCATCGATTTGCATCTCCTGGAGACACAGAATCTAGGGGTGCCCACCTCAACACTCAGTGATAAACATTTGCGACGCTATAAACGAAAGCATACATCAGAACATGTGGAGCTAGGTAGCTAGAAACGCTAACATGGCTTACCTTGGTCAAAACTGGTCTTCAATGGCATTAAAACGATAAAAAAACGATGCTGCAGTTAATCCATAGGTTAATCCTATGTGTCTGTGTCCTCTTTGAAATGATTTCTGATAATCCATAAGCAATAACACTGCTTTTTCGTTTCCAAATGTCAGAGCGAGAGATCGGTCCACTCTGATGCAAAATTACATGCGCGAAGCCCCCACCTCTTCTCTTCACAACGTGTGTGTGTGGGGGACTCCCCCTTCGATTCTATTGGCTCTAACGGTCAGAAAGAGGTGTCAACCATCCCAATCGACCAAGGGGGGCCAGAGATATGGAAAAAAAAAACATTTTCACCCAAATCACCTCAGAGGTGGGGTGGTTTTGGCTAAACCTCTCTAAAAAGGTCAAATGTCACTTGTTTTGCATCAATCTTGATACAGGGTACTTATTATATGTTGTACTTTGGATTCCTAAAGCTTTTAGTCTGCTAACCCATCATCCAAGGGTAGTTTTCACTATCTGTAAAAAAGAATTTTTGGACGGACACTATAATTTACAGTGTAAAATCTGAATTTTCTTTAAAATAAAAAACATCTATATTGATTCTGACACTTCTACATCCAACTCACAGATGTAACCTTGCTTTGATAAAAGAAATTATTCATATAACCCTTTTAGAAGTTAAGTTGTAGTCATTTGTTTTGGGCATGTCATTTTCGAGCCTGAAACATGAAAAACAGGCTTGTTGCTTAACAGGTTAAAGAATCAAACTCTAAATGGAGAGTTTGTGATTTTAGCACTGTTTCGATGAAACAATGCAGTTTTGATAACTTGACTTAACTAACATTACTTTTTTTAAATATATGTTTTTTAGATGCTTTACTTTGATTTCTTTCATGCTATTTTAACACAACATTACTTTTTTCATATTTTTCAACATACTGTGATATTTGTTTTTCTCTCCTTTTTCCATTATATTTTTGAATATACAGTGATTTTTATCAAAATACAACATGCAACTAATACATTATACAATATTACGACTTTTTGCGATATTTTCAACACAATATACTTGTACCTTTTTTTGTTGTTGTAGGGCTTCAGGATATTTGGTATGTCATGCATAAAACCGGTGTCATCTTTCCTGAAACTGACGTGCTGTCCGTTTTACAAACAAGTTATTTTTCTGCTTCTTCACCCTCTGAATTTTCCTCCCCGTCCCTCTTCCTTCAGCCATCACAACAACAATCAAGTCAGATCTGTCAAATTAAACACCTCTTCCCAAAGCGTGACTTCCCTATTGAGGGGGTACGGCAGTAGGGCCTAACCCGATTGGCCAAATATACTAACATGCAGAATGTATGGTATGTTGAAAAAAGACTAACCATCTATCCAGTTCAAGCTGTCTTTAAGATGTGACATCGCGCTCTGACTTTTTCCCGTAAAATCGTGACAAACTATTACTTATTATTAAATTTAACCTCTTGCTGCTTGGTTGAAAATGATAGATGAAAAATAACTTTTTAAAAAGAGTCAAACAACGAGGGACATTATACGGGTGAAAGAAACTCTCATTTCTACAGATGACTCCCCCCCACTCAACGCAATAAGTCCCACCTCACTCAGCAAATCATCCAAAACTAAGGACCCCACTAAGACGAACAGATTTTCTTTAAGACTGTGACTCTTAAAGGCACTTTGGGATTTTCGTAAGACAATCCAGTTTTCTGGAAATAACTTAAATTATTTTTGTTTTTTTCTCCTGCAAAGATACTTATAGTTACACTTTAATGGATGCAAAACTTTATAACTTGGTAAAATATTCATTAATTTGTAATGAATTGAGATTCTTAAAGAATCAAACTCTAAATGGAGAGTTTGTGATTTTAACACTGTTTCGATGAGATCCTATACTGACATTGCAGACAAACTATATAATATAATTCTTAACTACATACTATACTTGGACTTTTTTCAAGATACTTTTAACATACTATACTAGTACTTTTAAAATAAATGTTCGGACATTCTACACTGTGACTCTTTTTTTAAATGATATGTAGGAAATACTATACTATGATTTGAAGACAACAGTTTTTTAAAATGTAAAAACACTTTTTTTAATGCAGAATTTCATATTTACAATTTATTGTTTTCACCCCATAGGAATCAATAATACATTTATACTGATTGCAACATCCCCAGGATCTTCTCCAGCACAGAATCCCCCAGATGAAGGGAAATATTATAATGGAGTTTTTGCACTTCGGCCAAAGTATTCATGTGTATGCTGTTTTTGACACAAAGATGCATTACATCTACAAACAGAGCATACAATGCGAGCACATGATACACTTTTGGTGTTTGTTTCATTTCTTCAGTAATGTTACAGAATGTTTCGGAAAATGAAGATTCCAGTACCACTTTAAATGTTTCGTTTACAATCGTTTCCCAATGACCCGGAATAGTACTGCCAAAATGAACGATATCCAAAATGTCTTCTAGTTTACAAACTTCAGCCATTCTGTTTACACGGGGATCACTACTCATTCTGTTTTCAATCGTCATCAACAACACACTTATTAAACAGGTATTGACTGCATTCTGATAAATATATACAGATTGTTTTCCATAGTAGTTACCCATTTTTTATTTTACTTTAAAGAAAAGTCAAAGTATCGAAAAAAAAAAAGAAAAAAAAATCCCTGGCTTCAATCAACCGCTGGTTATTAGTCTTCTTCTTCTCCATCCAGCTCGGCATGGATCTTTTCAAGTCTCTCCTTGAGGCGTCTGCAGTTTTTGAGATTGTGCAGAAAAGCCTCCGAAGCGCCTTGGATCCTCCATTCAGCCGTGTAAATGTTTTTATCATTAAGACTCTGGTCAATCACAGTAATGAAGTCGGCGAGCCAAAGTCTTTTCATTAACGCGTTGTAATTGTTTCTGAAGAAATATTCTGGAATGTCATTCAGACAATCGTGTTGCCTCTGGCCAGGGTGACTGACTCGGCATCCATTGCAGATTTCTTATCTGTACCGATGCAGCACCCTCTCCAGAATATCAACCAACTCCGATTTCACTATGTTCAAAAACAGAGACGTCTTGGCCCAAGGAGTAACATCAGCAGCAAGATTTGGGTGTCCACAATGGTGGTGATGATGGTAGTCCAGGAGTTTGTTCCTGGCTGCAACTCGCGGGGGGAGACTTGGTTTTTCTTAGATCCCTGGCTAGTTTTCAACGGTCGTCTTAGTGGGGTCCTTCGTTTTAGATGATTTGCTGAGTGGGGGGTGGACTTATTGCGTTGAGTGGGGGGAGTCATCTGTAGAATTGAGAGTTTTTAGAAAGTTCTTTAAGCTTTGTAGCTTTTTCATCTATCATTTCCAACCAAGCAGCAAGAGGTCAATTGTAAGAATAAGTAATAGTTTGTCACGATTTTATGGAAAAAGTCAAAGTTTAGTTTGTCAGAAAAAAAAAAAGATATATATGGAAAAGTCATTGTGTACAATAGTATGTTGAAAAACAAAAACAAAAAAGAAACTCAATTCATTACAAATTAATGAATATTTTACCAAGT